GGAACCTGAAGACGGAGATAGAGTCCCATCTCCGAAACGTCGTTTTACGTTTTATATTTACTAGACGATGGATAATATTCAAAAAATTTATTCAATTGTCTATTTAATATAATATATTGCCTCATACGAGTTAGTCACATGCATCACAAGACGCCCGATCAAAATGTTATGTGCATTTCTCATCTCTTCAGGCCACACAACTTTTCAACCCTTCTCGTTCAATTCACCGTCATAAAAGAATTACGTTAAGTGTACAAATTATGATGCGTTTTACTACAGAGTTTCTTCCTAACTCCTAACTCCTGCTACTTCCCATTTTGATCCAAGATGCCAAGTGCAATACAAAACAAGCCAATGGGTTTATTATAGCACAGAAAAGTGTCCAGAACACGCAGCGAATGACACTGCGAATTAAAACTGTGTCAACCCTCAGGTTCTGAAGCGATCCAGACAGGAACTTCAAGACGATGACAATCAGACCGCTTATCGCGTCTGTGTCAACCCTCAGGTTCTGAAGCGATCGAGACAGGAACTTCAAGGCGATAACAATCAGACCGCTTATCGCGTCAGAAAGAACCGCTACCTGGCCAATCCTGTTGTTTCTGAACGAGTAACCGCTGTTAGTAAGGGAACACGAACACCTGCATACAAATTTCGTCCCAGGACAAAATACGCGCTTAGTTCACACCATCAATCATTTCTAGCGGGGGAGATCCCTGTGACGTAATATGCTAAGACATCGTTTCTTTGGGCCCCCGCGTCAATGAACACCGTCGGAAGAATAACGTCTTCACTAATCGAGTGTTTAACACTTTCAGTGTTACGAAGGAGATAAATCGATTTGAATCCAACAGCTTATTCCATTATTGACGTATTATCAATCTTTAGAATTTTATAAAAATGGGAATCATAAGTTGCCATGAAAATATACAGACAAAATAACATTTTCGCGTCATTTGACGAAAGAGTATAGAAATCAACGCATAATGAGGTGGTTTTATCCACCTGCCTGTAAGAATGTTACATCTCCAAAATTACGTAACGAATTTCGGTTAAATATGATATGGAGGATACAGACTGGAAGATACTGAATATATTTAGTTTTGAGATTGTTAACTACCGTTTATATGAAGCTCAGATCGAAGGCTATCGACATCCTAAAATCGAGGCACTGTACACGATAAATACATGGATCTCACTAATGTCTACTATGTAGTTTGGAAATTTTTCGATACAAAATATAAAGCAAGATCTTTTCTTTGCTTTCTGCCATGTTATACCTGCAACGTAAATAGATTTTCAATAACAAATTCGTATTTTCAACAAATGGCCACTGAGACCAACGAAGTACATAAAATAAGCAATATATACGATAAGAAAACATTTCTCCGCACTTGGTAAACCTTGCATAAGCCTGACCTTGAGTTCGTCTCAAATGTATCTAAATGCGTGCTTTTAGCACCTACATATATAAATTTTAAACTCCTCATTTCTTAAATATACTAAATATATTCCTGATGTTTTGCTACTTTTCATTACTTTTAATTGCCAAGGTCTCTATGTGAAGCACGAGATAAACATGGACCGGTCTGGAAGAGTCAAGGTTAACTACATTCTACACATGCGTGAAGCAGTGATTGCCTACAAGTACTGACACTCCCACGCTATTAAATTTCCCATTTCTGTTGCTCATTCGTTGTTGCAAAACTCGGCAATACGAATAATACTCATACAATACAAAAACATTGATACTTATATCTCTCAAAAATAAAATATCAAAATAAGCGACAATGCACGTTACTGAACTGATGTGTAAATAGCCTGTAGAATTTTAATCTTTCGTAACTGGAAAACGCTTTATTTTAAATTATGTATTATACTAACGAAGGCATTAGATTCGCTTTTAATGTGTAACGCAAGAAACATTTAGAGAGATGAATTTCTATGCGATAATTATTTTATTTAGTGTTCTATCTGACGACAGGTCCATATGAACAGGATCCTTCCCTCCTTTTCTCGGACTGGGACCTGTTCATATACGTTCTTGGCAGATGATCCAGAAGTGGTTTGCCATTGCCTTCTTCTGTGTGTGAATGGAGTAATTGTTGGGATGCCACGGAGGAAAACTCCGTGTTGCCTAGACCACGGCCTTGCCCAACACAAGTTATAAATTCGGGCACCGCCGGGAATCGAAACCGAGACCCCAGGATTACAAGGCCAGCGTTCTAACCGCTAGACCACCGTGGCTCATGCGATAATTAGCTTCGCGTAAATGAGGATATCTCTCTAAGGACATACACTGTTATAAGGTAGTTAATTTAAAGAACACAGGAAAACATTTGTTGTTGACTACAAGAGATCGGTGTGAAGCGAACACAGACGTTTACAAACTGACTATAACCCAAATAATCACAGCATTTGTACCATCCTATATTTGATTACGCACTATATTCGGATAAGTGTGTTTCGTTTATCACTCACCCTGGCGAGCTGTCGCTGGAGTCGCGTCAGTGCCAATCGCTCCTTCTGACCGTTCCTCTGCTCGGCCTCAAGAGCTCGCTCCAGCTCCAGGACTCGGGCCTCCAGACTTTCCTGCACCAACAGATGAACACTTTATAAGACAAGTGTTCCAGCACGGCGGAATCTTAAATCATGAACACTTTATAAGACAAGTGTTCCAACACGGCGGATTCTTCAATTGTAGACAACTGAGAAGGAAGTGGTCGTAGCCTGATTTAATGCAATACCCAAGTATTTGGTGGATGGACCAATTTTGGATTGGGGTACTTGGATTTTTATTCTCATAATTCAAATCCCATAGTTCAATAATACCAAAATAAAACATAATTATACTAACATACGGTTGTAATTAAACTTCATAATATGGATAATAGGTGCCCGAACCAAGATTCGAACCTGGGATTTATTGAGAATTACTTCTAGGTGAAGAATTGTAAAGGACTTATAAAGACGTTCGTCTGGATTTTTCCCGTACAGCCTGAGGAAAACCACAAACAAGTCTGTCTTAATAACTGATCACCGAGCCGGGATGTAAACTCGGGACCGCTCAAACACGAAGCAGGAGAAATACCACTTAATTGTGACGTTTCTGTGTCCCCAAGGTAATGTTCCTCGACACCTCAATTTTGCCTCTGAATGTTGCTCCTTCCCAGCTAAAACATTGCCACGTGAAACAAAAACCACAGTTGTAATCGATATCGGTAACCCTGCCGTGCATATCATTTAGATACAATTATTCCCAACACTCAAAATGATAGTATTTCATAGCACAGTATAACTTTCTCAAATATAGAAGTTCTTGACGATGGTGATGAGTCATGTGAATAAAAAAATTCATGGATATTATCCATCGTCTAGTAAATAAAATATGAAACGTAAAACGACGTTTCGGAGATGGGGCTCTATCGTCGTCTTCAGGTGCTTCCATCCTTTTCTCGGACTGGAACCTGTTTTATTTACTAGACGATGGATAATATCCAAGAAAACTTTTATTCAAATAGTAACTTTCTATCGACAGGGACGGTTTTGGTCAATTTCGGGTTCCGTAAGCCGTCTAGTTAGTTAGTTAGTTAGTTACTAACTTTATCTTAATATTATCTAACACTGGGGGATTGAGCATGAATTACGCTTGCAAACACGAACGTGATCGATGCGTTACACGGATAGGCTACTAGCTCTTGACTACAAACGACCTACTCAAATACATGCCATGGGAATTTGCATACATAATACGACGCACACGTTTTGTAGCCTGTACACTTGCAGTAAAATAATTAGGGAAATATATATTTTCCTTCGTCTTATTTCAAAGACCACGCAACGTTTTAGAATCTGGTTCTGTTTCCATCTTGAGCTGAGCAAACCTACTGAGTTGGGCTCACTAGAAGAAGCTAATCTTCCTAAGGACTGATATTAACTTCCACAATTGACGTAAATGGTTAAGTGCGATCACCTTAACACGGATGCAAAATAACCTTCCGAAAATGGTTTGGTTTTCAAAGCAAGACGGAAAAATTCCCAGAAACATGCAACAGTTTAGTAACAAATCATCGCCATAAACCTTTACGCTAGTTATAAAACGGTTTGTAGGCCTACGAGGAAGACTTGTTAATCTAGACCTAGGGATTCAATCATGTACGTTCTCAGAATTATTTAGACTGGAGTCCAGAAAACAGAGCTTGACTACTGTCTGCATCTTGCTTTCAAATTAACTGATTATTAACATAACAGAACTCGGAAGTCCAGTATCCCAAAAAAGTTGTTAAATTTACCTAAATTTAAGCCACGTTCATCCAGCTCATATTCTCAGAAGCTACATTTCCAATTGGCCTTATCTTTCGGTTACCTTAAAACTTACCTCATGATATAATATGCCTGCTAATAATTGGAAACACTTGTAATTGGGACGCAGTCTCGATTACTTTCCGTCGTAAATACTGGAATTATGACGCCAATTGTATGCCTACATCACTTTCGGCTTAGGAATCGCACAGAGTTTACGTACAAAATATTAAAATAGGCAAATGGATGTTGAACACTTCACAAATCTAAATCTTGGCATAACATTGCACATTCCTACTTCGCCTTCTTCCTGCCCCAGGTTCAAAACAAACGGCAATGATTTTATTACTTTCGCTGGAAATTTCAGACGTTCTTCTGAGAACGCGCGTTGTGATGACAATGTTGGCTGTGTTTAACTTGGGCTTGAGTACCGAAAACATGGTTCAGCTGATTATGGTGCAGACTGTAGGTAGCGGAAACGGAGCTCGGTACCAGGCCTGCTAATCGCCTGTTTAAGCCGGACAATGCACGCGCTGTGTCTCAGTGCCAGGCTGAGTAAGACATCGACCGCTGACTCCACAGCCCAGACTCTAATCGCGCGCTGAAAAATGAGTGCCAATAAATTCTGTCCCTCCCCCCCCTTGCCCCCGAAATACAACTCGCCCACATCCTAATGTGTATGCAACCTGAAGTACTCAGACTGCTTTCTTTCTTCCTGGAAGCACACACGTGTGCTGAAATACAATTAGCCCACGATTTAAAGCGGGGACTTGGCGATGAGGACAAACGAGAAACCCTCACACACTGGACACTAGCGCAGTGTGACTCATACAGCCAAGCGTGACGGATAATGGCTATTATATTACAAGAAGATTGCCATTGTCTGAGGCAGGCTTCTTCCTACATGGAACAATGATCTTCCTGGGAAGCTAATGGTTACTCAGCTAGTAAAAAAATTAGTTCTCCGTTCATGAAACCAGAAGGTGCATTACCATATTCACAAGGCAACAACAGTCCTTATGGACACCCTCACACCCAATTTCTTCAAGATCCGTTTTAATATTATCCTCACATTTGCGCCTAGGTATTGGTGGTCTCTTTCTCTCAGGGTCCCCGATCGAAACAATGCATGCACATTTTATCTCTTCCATTCGTGCCACATGACCACCCAACTCATCATCCTTGATGTCCTTATCTTAAAAGTTATGAATATGTAAGTTGATCTTTATGTATTAAAACCACAACGTCAAGAAAATAGATTTTATTTCCATGTTTGGGTGTAAAATTATCCATTCCCATTCTGTTGTACCCTTTGGTTGCAATTTATAAAAACAACAACAAATAAATTCCAAAAACAAATATGGTTGTACATGCTGTATCGTATTGTCGTCAGTAACCTTTACACTACGCCTACAAATTATGCAGCTCCTCATTAGGCCGTGAAATTTTCTCAAGTATCCTGCCACTTGGTTCTAAGTATTTTCCTAGCTCTCTTGTTCAAAAACATCATCAATCTATGTTCTTCCCCTCTTGTTACTGGTAAAGTTTCACACCCATAAAAACCAACAGGTGATAATTACCTACATAAATTATTTATTTATAGCTGAGGAAGTTCTACATTTAACAATTTAATGTGATTACCATTTCTCTATGGTACGTAATTTTAGGGAAATTACAGTCTTAACTGGTGCTTGGACTCGTGAAATAACTTCCACCACAAATCATATTTTGCATTCTATGCCACTAAAGACTTCATAATTTATACTAAAGAAGTTACTGTAATATAATCTACAAGTTTATTTTTGATATTTCATTGTCATAATTCACACAAAACAGCTTAATACAATAAGCCAATTAGGTAATGTGACGCAACGGGCTATTCCGTGTTTACAGTCTCAACTTCAATTACAATTTTGTGACAACCAGAATCCATTGTCTGTTGTATTGTCCATGGCACCGATATGTTATATCGACAGTTGTACAATTAAATGACAGACGAAACTTCGACTTCTGACAGAACAGACTAATACCGATTGCTGTTATGAATTATGCAAAATGTCTCACAGGAAACAATAATAATTGAGGGACATGCATTGTATTAGCTCGCCGAAATTCGTACGACAACCCACAGGGATACAGAGATACGAACCACCTCTCGTTCGTCAAACCGCCTCAGTTTCCAGTTTGTAGCACACAGAGGATTTTAATCAAAGCTTTTTTTTAAAAAAAAAAAAGTCTCTCCATCATCAGTGCAGCTGCAGTGGAAGTCGGAGTCGGGCTAGTATGTAATGAATAAGGCCCATTTGTATCGCCTCGTTCAACTCACACGGAAATAAAAAGGGTGAACAGTCCACACAAAATTCGGACCAGTGGCTCGGAATCAGTCCAACAGTAGAGTTTAATGAAGGACTAGTTTTTGACGATTCTCTAAAGGTTTGTGACAATGGTTGATTCGTAACAGAAACACTGTGTCGTACGTTGTGTACTGTCTTGTTTGCAACCGCCCTTCCGCAGACTGTTTTCTTCTCACTCTGGTTGCCACGGGATCAAACCCAGTAGCGTGCCCGGTTTGCTTGCGGTTACAGCTTGATATAACTTCGGATAATGCGGAAGGATATAAGGACTAATAATTGATGTAGACTTTGTCGGCGAGCAAGATTGTCCGACTCTCAGGGATTATACGGGGACTGTGATAGTTGGAGCGGCCGTACGCCAAGGACATGAAATCTGTGGGGATGATCAACTGCAGACCACACCGAAGTCACCTTGGAAACGTTTCACCTTTTATTTCCGTTCGAGACACTGTTGTACAATAAGTTATTCTGATTGTAGGGCAGCGCGATGATTCGGCTGTTGTATTTATAATTGTAAGAATCAAGCAGAAACTGTCTGCTTGCCTTGAAGAACCGAACTTTCAGAGAGCGAGCACCAACGCAATCTCCTTTTTATATTCCCGCAACGTAACTGTTCTTGAATTTTGAATTGAATATGACAATCCGATTCGTCTCCCAAAAAGTCACTTACGACGTCGGAAACGTGCCGAACAGCCACATTCGAATTCCATTGGTCCCAGTCGTAGTGGAACAGCGGTCATCTGGCAATCGTCACTCCACACCTACTAGGGCGCCCCAAACCAACGGTCACTAAACCGAATGTCGGGATAAGAGACTTTCACATGCCAGGATGGCGCCACTCTCTTTCCCAATGTGATACATTGGACAAAGCCAAAAATTAATAAAATCACTCAAATTTTGATGAAGTGAGGTGTACCAAGCATCATCTAATCACAC